GCGAGGAAGCAGATGACACCGGAGAAGCGGACGAGGGACGCCGAGCCTGCCACGCCTTCGCCATCGGAGCAGGTGTCGGACGCTGAGACGATAGCACTTCCACGGATACCGCAGGAGACACGGAAGGGACTGCAGGAAACGGAAGAGGCGGCAAGACCGCTGCCGAGGAAACGGGTAACGAGGAAGGGGCCACAGAACATCCAGAGCGAGCATCCTTTCTCAACATCACCACCAGGCCACCCCGCTCACCACCAACTACAGCAGGGGGAACCACCGCCCACGAAGAACCGGAGCCATCCGACGCAGGCAACGCACCTGAAGCAGGACCCTCGGACACCGGACCAGAAGTGGAGGCCGAAATGCCGGCACCGGCATCCTCAGGCAAGTGTACCTCCGCCACCACCGTAGTGTGCACCACATCCGGAGCCACGCCACCGTCAACGGAAGGACGACACTCGTCGAATTCGCCAACATCAGCCCACACAGAAGAACGCCGGGAACGCTTAGGCTCGGGCCGCACATCATCAGACCCGGAGGCAGACTCAGCGACCCGCGCAGCACCAACCGAGCGAACCGACGCACGCCGCAGCACGGCAGCCTCCTCAACCACACGGGGCACCAGGCCAGGCACAGGAGGGAATTCCGGATCCACCTCATCTCCCAGCGCAGCCAGAACAGACGGCGAGGGTGCAGGGACCGGGACAGACACAGCAGAGGAAGAACTGGAAGACGAGGGGTCTGAGCAAACGGCAGGCGGAAGAGGCGCAGGGACATCAGCCGGAGCACTAGGCGAGGACCCAACCTCTGGAAGAGATACGGCAACAACAGAGGGCACCTCCTCAGCCGAAGAGACGTCCATACCCACCGAATCATCCCCCACAGGAAGGGGCGGAAAATCCTCCTCACTGAAGAGGTTCACTGGTGCAACAGGAGGCGCAGAACAGGCAGCAGCCTGATGGCCCAAAAGACCACAACGATAACACGTCCGCGGCTGACGGGCGTAAAACACCCGAACGTTGTACCCCATAAGGCGCACAGAGGACGGAATATCCGCCCGGAGTCTCATGCCCAGGGTGCGAATGTTAGACCTCACACCCTTAAGAGGACTAGAAGACACCACGTTCACTCTCACACTAACAACTGCGCCAAACCGCCCGAAATACCGCCGTAGCAGAGCCTCTGGAAACTCCAAGGGAGCCCCATGCACACTGATGTAAGTAAGTGCACCACTTCTATCCGAGAGGGTGACAGTGCCCGCACCATCCGGCAGGGGCAGTGTCCGCCCCTCGTATCGCCGGAGAAAATCGCGATACGCCGCCTCCTCTGCAAACTTCACAATGGCCCTACGGGCCGTTACCAACTCGACCCCATAAATCGCAAACACAGGGACAGAGAGCATTTCACAAGCCAGGGCAATCTCCGGGTAACCAGCCCGCACAGAGAACTCTAGTCCCACAGACTGAGCCCGGACGACTGGGGGTAGAGGGACCCCCATCGTTACGCCACGTCAGCACAGGCGAGCAGACACACACCCGCCCCCAACCGGCCGAAACGGGCAAACAACACCAAACTGCTGGAGCGCCGATTCAACACGTCCGCCCCGCACCGAAGCTAGGGCCAGACTCCTGTAGTGCTAACTGATAGTTGCATAACGTTAGCTGCTAGTTGCCTAGCGATAGTTGCTAGGTGCCTATACGATAGCTGCTAGTTGCCTAGCTATAGCTGATAGTTGTGTAGTGATAACTGCTAGTTACGTTAGGCAACCTGCTAGCTGCAGGTTGCCTAACGATAGCTGTTAGTTGCCTAGCGATAGCTGCTGCTTGCGTAGCGACAGCCTCTAATTACGTTACGCTAGCTGCTGGTTGAATAACGCTAGCAGCAGTTGTCAGTGATGTGTAAATTTAGCCCATGTTCAGTGCTGATAAATTGCTCCTGCCCGACACTCACGGCCCATGTGTTAGGCGCGCTTGCACACGCCTGAACGCAAGCACGCGTGCGTGTACCAAATACTGAAATGTGCTGTTTCTCACTCTGCCAATATATATCCACAAAATTTTGTCTGTCTTTCTCATTCTTCCAACACACACACACACACACACACACATACACACACACACACACACACACACACACACACACACACACACACACACACACACACACACACACACACACACACACACACACACACACACACACACACACACACACACACACACACACACACACACATACACACACACACACAGACACACACACACACACACACACACACACACACACACACACACATACACACACACACACATATATATATATATATATATATATATATATATATATATATATATATATATATATATATATATTAGTATATTTTGGTAGTAGTCTTTCTTGTAAACATATGTTGTTAAATATGATCGAAAAGGTAAGATTAATAATTCTAACACGAATTTTCTCAATATTTCTTATGTTTTTCTTCACTGTCGGTGGTAATGGAAATATCAATTCTCCAAAATTAATTTTTATTTATGGTCTGACGCCTGAACGCGTTTCGTAATGGCTTATTACATTTTCAAAGACTTAATTTGCTCACAAATTCTTCGTACTTATACTCTATTGGGTGAGGTGATATGGTACAAAAGTTTTAGGTGTGTTGAACAAACTTGTGACAAACACATGACAGAACACGAAACAATGGGTATAACTTGGATATGAGAACATAAGAATGGAAGTAACTGCAGAAGGCCTGTTGGCCCATACTTCCCGTTGCTGCTTCTATATTGGTTCGTGGTCTTGAAGTGGGTAGAATATAGTTGTGCATTAATTGGCTGTTGATTGCTGGTGTTGACTTCTTGATGTGTAGTGCCTCGCTGATGTCGAGCCGCCTGCTATCGCGGTACCTATCGATGATTTCTGTGTTGTTTGTTAAGATTTCTCTAGTGATGGTCTGGTTGTGAGAAGAAATTATATGTTCCTTGGTGGATCCCTGTTTATGCATTGTTAATCGCCTGGAAAGAGACGTTGTTGTCTTGCATATATACTGAGTTCTTTGGGGTTTACAGTCCCCAAATGGGCATTTAAAGGCATAGACTACGTTGGTTTCCTTCAAGGCGTTCTGCTTGGTGTCTGGGGAGTTTTTCATTAGTAGATTAGCCGTTTTTTGGTTTTATAGTAAATTGTTACTTGTATTTTCTGACAACATTATTTGGAGGACCTATGACGATTCCACTACCCAGAGATGGCTTCGTAAACCTTGCTGGAATCAACCTCACTGAGGACCAAATCACTCTCTTAAATCTGGGTATAAACTGGCATTGTTATCCAGTCAGCACAGAGATATTATTCAACTTACAGAAATCCAACATATAGGAAAAGAAGGCTGTCTAATCTAGGGCTGTCAGTCACCCTAAATTGGATACCATGTCACAGTGGCATAGATGGTAATGAAAAGGCAGACTCACTAGCAAAAACTGCCACTGCTTTACCTGTTGTACATGTTCAAATACCTCCAAGTTTCTCACAGATTAAGGAGCAAATCAAGAAGAAAATGCTCCCAACTATCAAAAGTCGCTACAAAGCCAAAGTAACGGAAGGAAGATCCACTGTGATATGGTACGAACAAGCCACTGGGTACTACTCATTCAAGCCTGGCAAAAAGATATCCAGAGACATTGCAGTAGCCATACACAGACTCAGACTTGGTTACAAGTGCTGCTGGGAGGTAATAAACCCAATAGTTAAAAAGTGTTATATCTGTGGAACAGAAGCAGAGGCGCTACTATTGCACTACTTACTGGAATGTGAAGCTACTGAATCCTTGCACATCAAACTCAACATTAATCCAACGACACCAGCTGCATTAGATGCACATTCCACCGCGACTACAATGATTAGAAAAGCCGTTGAGGAATGGGACTCACTAATGAGCATTCTGCATCTACATCCGCCACCAAGATAATGTTATTAAAACAAAACTAAACCCAGTGCACTAAATAGTTAATACAGATTATGCTGTCATATTCAATGAGACATGTATAAAAGGAAACCTGCTGCAGTATACACACACACACACACACACACACACACACACACACACACACACACACACACACACACACATATATATATATATATATATATATATATATATATATATATATATATATATATATATATATATATATATATATACACATACATATATATATATACATATGTCGTACCTAGTAGCCAGAACGCACTTCTCAGCCTACTATGCAAGGCCCGATTTGCCTAATAAGCCAAGTTTTCATGAATTAATTGTTTTTCGACTACCTAACCTACCTAACCTAACCTAACTTTTTCGGCTACCTAACCAAACCTAACCTATAAAGATAGGTTAGGTTAGGTTAGGTAGGGTTGGTTAGGTTCGGTCATATATCTACGTTAATTTTAACTCCAATAAAAAAAATTGACCTCATACATAATGAAATGGGTAGCTTTATCATTTCAAAGGAAAAAAATTAGAAAAAATATATTAATTCAGGAAAACTTGACTTATTAGGCAAATCGGGCCTTGAATAGTAGGCCAAAAAGTGAGTTCTGGCTACTAGGTACGACACATACATATATATATATATACATATATACATATACATACATACACATAATGGAAGTTAGTACCACCTCTGGCTGGAAGAAGGGGACCTTTAGCCTCGGAGGAAACCACACATAACGCATTAGGGGGAATAAAAGTTATATATATATATATATATATATATATATATATATATATATATATATATATATATATATATATATATATATAATGTTGGAGGGTAAGGGAGAAAGATTGGGTAAAGCGAGGAGGGTGGGTTGAAGGAGGGCAAAATTGGGGAGATGAGGGGGAAATGGGGAGGAAAATGGGAGAGGAGGAAGAGAGGGGAGGTGGGTAGAATGGAAACATAGGAGTGAGGGGGGGGGGGAAGAGAGAGAGAAGAGAGACTATCCCGGGATTTGGCGGGTCTCCTTGTATGTATGTGATGTGTATATACATAATGGTATGTCGTTCTGAGGACTATTTTATTATCAGGAAGGAAATCTAAACAAAAATGGAAACAATTACCAATTGATCCTTTCATCGTAACTCTCTATGATTATCCATTAAATCTCGTGAATGAGACTAGTAATATCTTTATTCTTTCAGGATACAGAAAGTTAAAAAAAAGTGATTATAATACTAGAAAATAAAGTTCAAAACCTCATGTTTTTAGTATTAGGATTAAAATCTTTAAGAGTGTCACGTAAGAAAAGGCTCTTTACTTGAGATAAATATTTATATAAATTATTTCGATTCATTGGCTAAAAAAAGGTGACTAGAAAAATATTTAATTAGTGAATATTAGTACATTTTAAAAGGCTGAAAGTTGGGAAGAGGAAGGAGCGGCCCTGGTAATCTCCAGGGCTAGTCCACGGTCAGTGCTCTCACCATGGCGACCCCTGGCGACCACACTGAGGAGGCTACTGCCTCCTTTCCCCTGTTATGTCCCAGACCAGGCGATCTCCTCTCTAGAAACCATACCATCATCACCTCGAGCTACGGGGAGACATTACAGACATACACAGTGGGCACTACGAGTAGTTTTCAGACATCTACGTTCCTAACGTCTGAACCTGTGAGTATCCTGGGCAAAGGGAGGCACAATTCTGCCAGTTCGATAACCTCTGCAAGTCCAAAGCACAGCGTCAAGTTTTCGGAGCCAAGAGGCGCTGCTTGTAGAGATCGAACTCCCGATAGTCCCCGTTTCAGGCCTCTTGGGCAGGATAAATTAAAACATCAAGAATGTTTGAAGTATAAAGTCCACGAGGGATCAGTTATGCATCGGAACGTCACGCATGGGATTGGAAGCATCCCTGAGACGTCGACGCTCAATATCACAGAAAGTTCCAACTTCAGATACGCTGAGTCCTCGAAGATGGTCGGCACTTCCTTCCACTGCCCTGACAGTCCTCGCTCTAAAACTCGGATGATAACTCGTACTCCTGACCGCAACTCTATAATCGCTTCCATGGAGTTGAAGGTCCCATCCTTCCACGATCTCGGAGTTCCTCTGGCGGGCAGTAGCGGAGCGGGACTCACGCCCTTGCTGGGTCCTCCCGAGAGTCGAGGACTAACCATCCTCTCACCCCATAACCCAACACCTGAACTCCACTTCTCTTCGACCTTCACGGTGAGGACTCGCAAGGGAAAGACCATTGTGCTGCCCAAGCTGAGGATTCCGGCCTTCCACTCACACTCTCATGACAGCATATTCCTTGGGTAAGTTCAGTCACCTTTGATTTGCCATTTGATTTTCGATGGTTGCCATGTGTTATATTCTACTGCAAAATATGACTTCAGTATTACATCCATGTACATGCAGGTGTTTCTACTAAGGTAAGTTAACTTTATTTTCTACTAGATGGAGGAACCAGGCTATTCGTTCATCACTCTTATCCCCCTCCATGTCAATCCCACTGTCTCTCTTGTTACGTATATACGTTTTGGATATATATATATATATATATATATATATATATATATATATATATATATATATATATATATATATATATACACGGAAAAACCAAATGTGAAAAATCGAGAATGCTAAACGCGTTTTCGGCTTAATTCGCCTTCATCAGAGCAAAGTTGAATGAAGGTACAACTTTAATAGTTTCAAAGTAGAACTTTGAAATTATCAAAGTTCATTCTACTTTGCTCTAATGAAGGCGAATTAAGCCGAAAACGCGTTTAGCATTCCCAATTTTTCACATGTGGTTTTTCCGCATACTTGGATCAGTGTTTTTGTAATCGCTGTTGCATATATATATATATATATATATATATATATATATATATATATATATATATATATATATATATATATATATATATATATATATATATATATATATATTATCTTAGCACGGGCTTCTGAAGATGTATTATTTAATACGAAAGTACTTAAGGAAATTCCTGTTTCAATCCTTCCCTCCTTCATGGTCTAACACTTACATTTTTCATCACATGTTAATTTTCGTGATTTACACACACACACACACACAGCGGCATATGCCAGGCTAGCCAACATAAGAACGGCATTCAGAAACTTGTGTAAGGAATCATTCAGAACTTTGGCCACATATGTCAGGCCAATCCTGGAGTATGCAGCCCCAGCATGGAATCCATATCTAGTGAAGGATAAGACTAAACTGGAAAAGGTTCAAAGGTTTGCCACCAGATTAGTACCCGAGCTGAGAGGTATGAGCTACGAGGAGAGACTACGGGAATTAAACCTCACTTCGCTGGAAGACAGAAGAGTTAGGGGGGGACATGATCACCACATTCAAGATTCTCAAGGGAATTGATAGGGTAGATAAAGGCAGTGTATTTAACACAAGGGACACACGCACTAGGGGACACGGGTGGAAACTGAGTGCTCAAATGAGCCACAGAGATATTAGAAAGAACTTTTTTAGTGTCAGAGTGGTTGACAAATGGAATGCATTAGGAAGTGATGTGGTGGAGGCTGACTCCATGCACATTTTCAAGTGTAGATACGATAGAGCCCAATAGGCTCAGGAACCTGTACACCTGTTGATTGACGGTTGAGAGGCGGGACCAAAGAGCCAGAGTTCAACCCCCACAAGCACAACTAGGTGAGTACATACACACAATATATTATATATATATATATATATATATATATATATATATATATATATATATATATATATTATAATCGCAGAGCAGGTGAAATGCAGCTTGAAAATTTATATTCTCATTAAACTTATCTTCATGAATATATGCAATAATACCAAAATAATTAAAATTATTTATATATTTTATATTTCGTCTATGTAGCTCTCTCTCTCTCTCTCTCTCTCTCTCTCTCTCTCTCTCTCTCTCTCTCTCTCTCTCTCTCTCTCTCTCTCTCTCTCTCTCTCTCTCTCTCTCTCTCTCTTTCTCTCTCTTTCAGAATTAACTTTATTTTGCATTTATATAGATTTATATAATATAATACAAAATATATTATTTTGCTAATATATCTCAAATGGTCTTAAATTATTTTCGTTGGCCATAATATGGAAGAAAACGAAGTTGAATTGGCTATATATCATTGTGTTGTTCATTTTTTAAATTATGTATTCTTTCAAATCAGATTTTGAGCATTATCTTTAGAATCCGTCTTCGCATTAACTTAAGCGTATTAAAAAAAAGAGCTTGAAAGATTCTCTATGTGGTCGTATATAATTCGTGGATGTTATAAAGGTCTTCAGTTAATCATTGAACACACATTTCGTATTCTATGCAATATTGTTTAACGGTTTGTTTTTATGTATATTGTGAATGCGGTAATGCTTGATGACACAGAGAAAGGAAGGGAGCGAGAAAGAGAGAGGAAAGAAGAAACAGGCCTCTGTATCTTAAGTAATAATGTATAAACGTTTTGAATGTAATGTCACGAGAATACATCTCGTATGAAAATATGATAATCGCGACTTCAGCCAACGCTGCCTCCGTTTTAACTCAACGAGGTAAGTTCTGAGTGAGAAGCGGTATTGATGGTGCTTGTATTGCTAATGTCACTTCTTTCATATTTGTTTCATTATCAAACAGTACTTGATCTGAGCAGTTGTGATACACTAAACTTGGAATTCTACTCATCTTGGGATGAATGATAATAAGGAAAGCATGCCCAATTTGGAGTAGGCTATTATACACTGTAATATGCTTAGAAGATGCTATTCAGAAATATTAGATGGTCATCGAGCAGGTGAAATGCAAATTAAAAATGTATATTCTAATGAAACATGTATTTGTGAATGTTTATGAATATAACAATAATATAATATACTATGAAAATAATTGAAAAATAGTACTTAGGCTTAGACAGCATATATTAAAGTAATTGAGAAAAAAAAACTATTCCAATTCCAATCAGTTTTGTATAATTTGACTCAATGGTTCATTCCAAATTGGAATAACTAATTTTTTTTATTGAATGACATTTTAAGCAATCGCTTAAAATTAAGTTTGCATGTAAACAAATCTCAAATATGACAAATTTTTAAAGATATAAATGTGTGCAAGCAAGTATCTTAAACTCGGTTCGCGAGATAGGATATTTCTGTTATAAGAGCAGTAGATATAATATAGTTTTCTGTTTAATCCATAAATTTTAATCTATAAAGCGATAAATATGTTGTAAGCCTTGACGTTTTATTATATGAAATATTATTTATTTAAAAAAAATCGTTCATAAAGGCACGTTTCATAAGACAATAACTTTCTAATTTGGACACCTCCAGCACGACTTACCACCTTATATATCTAGCCGCTATATAGACTATTTTTTAATTAAAACTTTTCCTAATAGACCTAACGAAGTACGTCTTAGTCTCCAGAAATTGTTATTTCGCATAATTGTCATTGTTAACGCTAGAGCATAACGACATGGGGTATAACAGAACTGAAACTATATATTTTATTGAAGGCAATATAGGTTTCCTCCCATAGACGCATGTAAACATAAAAACACGCGGGTGCATGATATAACACTTTAATCGAATGTCGTCAGTGCATAGGGTCTATAGCCTATTGTGAAAAGGCTATCGGGGGATACCTTCAATCTCCTTTCAAGCATTCAAAGCGCATTAAGTATAAGTATTATTACGGTGTAGTACATAAATAATCGGTGGTCGTTTAATGAATGATAGTAGGTTAGTGTTAATTATAGTTCAGTGGAAGTAACTAATACCACACTGATGGAAAATGTAGTTTGCATCAGTGTTGAAATAAATGGGTGTTTCAGTAAAAGCCTGTTGTTCCTTAAAATTATAGCATATTGTTCAGTTAAATTTGCACAATATAATCATTCTTTGTTACCGAATTTTAAAAATGCATTATTATAGCAAATTAATGTAAGTTGTTTATTGTTCGCAATGTTTAGGTAGAAAACTGAATTTGTTAGCGGCACTGAGTGATAGTTCATGATTAAATAATTAACAGTATTTCAACTAGAAAATATAGGTTCAGAGTTGATTTCAATAGATTGCATTGTTTTGCGTTTTTTTGCCCTAAGCATTAAATAGTGTTCAAATGGATGCAATCTTCCCCAAAACAAATTATCGTAAGGTTTGCTGAGCAAACCAATTTCCCAATAAATCCACTTGCTCTGCATGCATAGATTATGCATATAAACTATTACAACATTATAATGTATACTGGATTATTTTAGCATCAATGTGTGTGTTTTCATCTGGGTGTGTCGGTGCGTGTTTACAGAGACTGACGTGTGTAATGTGCCTTGCAAATGTGCTTTGGTGACATGAACAAAATTTATTGGACAGGGAGCTGCCCAACTAGCCTTCACAGCTCGCTAATTTATAAAACAATAGGTGGCCAGATGTCTTCTGGAGCTCCGCTTTAGTGAATGAACGATTGTAGTCTAGAGTATGTTGCACACCCGATGATTCCACTAGGCTGCAGATATTACTTAGCTGGGAAGTTATCCCATTTTGGACACTTTATTTATCAATGAATGGAAATAGGATAAATCATACCCGATTTGGGAAAGGCTGCTATCAAACTGTATATGCTTAATAGGTAAATGAAACCCAACTAGGATTTATAAACAGCATAATGAAACCCAATGCCTAACTGGGGTCGAGCCTCATCTTAGGTGATATTCTAATTATTTGTCGCTTCCAACAAAACAACTCAATAAACTTCAGTACTCAGGAAAAACACACACACACGTATGAAAGGAAAGTGACGCCGTTTCTAGTACCTTTGTGGACCATTGTCAAATCAGAACTGAGGCAAACAGGGCAATTAAATCAGTGTATAGGAAGAGAGTAGGTGAAGGGAGACTACAGGTGGTGAGGTGTAAATTTAAAAAAAGTAAAACGTGAAAAACAGCTTTCTAGATGAAAGGAAAAAATTACCGAAACCATCTTCTGGTGTGTGGTTTAGTCTTCATATATCCTAATTCAATGGCAAATTCCATCTACATGCGCGTGTGATGTGAGTGAGAGAGTGAGTGAGTGAATTCAATACATTCTGGTGGCCAAAGGCAGTTCGGTCAAAGGACATTTAATTAGCATTCTATTTTTTATATCTTGGTTTTGAGAGCTGAAACGTTTGCAATAATGATTGTATTCGACGACAAACAGCAGTATTGGAACAAAGCGGGTGGTCATGGTGTGACGGGATTAAATGGCGCTTCTAACTTGTATTTGTTTCCTGAGTGTTGATGCGCGGCAGGTAAAATTAATT